AAAATACAATTCTCTTAACATTAGTGGTTTGATTTTAGTTTTACATACTGCACTATAAATTTACGAGCCCCAAGTGGCTGTTAGTAATAAGTAATACCCTTAAAATCATTTGCAACTCGTAAAATATAATTGATTTATTTATTTTATTTCATTTCAATTTTCTTCTTTGGGTAATGGATTTAATCCTCAAGAAAGTTGTAGTTAACTGTATATTTCTGGAGAGAGCAGGACATTCGAGTAACTCACCAGCATAACGGACCCAGTTAAGGGTAACTCAAAGACGATAAGGTAATAATGCCCGAGAAGTATGTGTAAGTTCACTGATTAACCATATCACAATCAATAGATCACGCTATTGATCCAAGTCATGACGACTTAGAAATTGGATTATACAAGGGTATAATTGTTCTGCAGCCTGTCACACATTATTTAAACCATCAAGCCTGCATAAAAGTTTCTAAAAACAAAAAATACTCCTAAACAAGAAAAGATAAAAAAAAACATAAAAATTTATACTTACCATCCGTCCTCCCACCAAGTCGTAGTGAGCATAATGTGGGCCATTAGGTTCACCAAACACTTTATATGTGACCAAATTCTCAGGAATGAGCTTCACAGTTTCTGTTTTGACACAATTTGGAAAAAAAAATGGATGAATAAAAGACCTGTTATGAATTTTGGAGACTCACAGGAGTACGCCAGTTTAAGATAAGAAAACAAACCATATACGGCTTCTGGTGGACAAATCAAATCCCGATCCCCAGCAAGGGCTAAAACAGGAACTCTACTCTTATGAATGTGATCTTTGTAAAAGAATGTACCACTTCTGTCACGGAGCCCGCCTTCCCGAAAGGCAGTCGTCAGCTGTAATAATAGTTTAGCAGGAATAGTACCTGCAGAAGTAATAAAAAAACTCGATAATCAATTTGCAATAGTTAGCTTTTTTCGCTATTACAAATCATGATTCATAATTAATAATTCGGGAGAAGTTCGTTGGGTTTGCCTCTGGATAGAGGGATACGGATTTGAGGGGAAGAATTTCAAATGACTCCATTTAATGTGGATTCTGAAATCTACTGAATAATGATAAATAGAAAACTGATCAAACTCTAAACAGAAGTATTTGGATCATTGTATCAAAACTGGCTGCATGATTTTATATCATGGAAACTTTAAAAGCATCCCTTCAAATGGATGGGAAATTCTTAGTAAAATCCTTTTGACCTTGTTCTGAAAAACTCATAATCGAATAGTTTTCAAAACTAGTAAGTTTTTTAGCCATTTTGGGCATCATCAAATCCATATCATATGAAATTTGAAATCCTCCTCTCAAACCCTCTTCCAAAATTAAAGTCCCTCCATTCTCCATCCAAATGCAACCTAAAGGAAGATGATAGCCACACCAAGGCCGTGGCAATGCCCATTAGCTTTTTTGCTCAATGAATCTCACCAAAAATAAGGTATTTGATATGCGTAAAAGGTAGTGGTATGCTAAAATTTCTCAGTACAGACAGGAATAAATATAGAAAACTCCAGATTGACAACCTGCACAAAATCTGTCCACAATATAACACTATTTCTCACTAGCTATCATGGATGCCACTATACCAGAGCTTAAAATATCGAATGCAGTAACTGAGCAAAAGTACAGAACATTCTTGACTTACAAAAATTGTTAAGGATTAGCTTCTCCAACAATTCGGGGTGCATCATACCCTGTGCTGATATCAGGTCATTCATCCACGACAAGACATAAGGCGGACGGGAAGAAAGGGGATAGGCTGCTGATAGCAATGCACCTAAAGGAACAACAGGTACATTAAGAGCCTGTGCAGGGTCAGCCTGTGGGACGAAAAACATTCTGTTATGATTCTGCACAGGGATGAGACAAGATTCACATTTGATCTAAAAGGAGCTGCATATAGTGTACTGGTACGTACGAGAGGAAGAAGAAGTTTGAGTGTCGAATTAGATGTGGTGTAATCCAGTGATGAAGCCAATGTAACGATAGCAGCTAATCCAGGATCTCTTCCTTCAGAACCTTTTAAAACCAACATATTGTTAAAATTTGCAGAAGAACGCCAATCCAGAAGGAAATGTGCTAACTATGACATGAGGATAACAGAAAACAGAACATTGTTAGAGTACCATGATTATGTATAAGAGTATAAAGCCTACAATATCTGATAATTAATATGCCACGCAAATCAGAGCTCCATAAAGACGTGTGATAGTTGATAGATTCGAATATGTAATGGAACAACATAATTTAAAGAATATGATGTTTAGCGAATAAAGAATTACTACAAATGTAATATGTGAATGAACTGAAACTCAAAACCGTTTCTTATGGAGGTCTACAGACATGGAAAATAAGATCGTTTGGCTGAGTGCTGAATACACATAAAACCATAATCGCTAAAAAAATTCTACATCCAGGTGATATATATAGATAGTAATATATTCAAAAAAGGGAGCAGGAGGTCAAAACCGGTTCACACTAGTAAACTTAGCTTGGAGATGTATGGTATCTGGGGACCCAATTTATTTTTATGAATACAAATTAAAATCATCAAAAGAATAGGTAACCAAACTTACTGTATCGGGATACCATTGCATATAGCAAAATACCCCCCATGGAGTGACCAATTGCGAGCAACCGACCATCCTTTGGTTTGCTCTGGGCCCGTATATATTCCATCTAGGAAATGGGCAACAGAAGAAATCACAGGCTATTAATGTAGATAGAAAGATAGTACCTCCAAACCAAGGCCATATATTGAAATATCTCTGCTTCAGAAAATAATAATAATAATAATAATAATAATTATTTGCACAATGCATGGCCAATAACAAAGAGAAATGTCACCTCACCACAACAGGAATGTCCTCTTCCAAATAATGATCAAAGTCCCAGTCATATTTGACAATAAAGTCCAACTGTTTCTGGAAATCATCCACTGTCGTGAGTAAGCGTTCTTGCAGATCAAAAAGTTGGGGCGGAACAGAACGTTGACCTTCTTCAATGACATCTACCAGCTTTTGACTTAGTTCCTTAATTTGTCCAGCTACACTGGAGTTTTGTTCTGTGTCTAGCAAATTTAAAACTTTTTCCTTTATCTCATTAAAACTTTCGAGTATAAGGGAATCCTCAAAGAATTTTGATATTTGATCGAAAAATTTGGCAGACATAATCTTCGACTGACTTTCACTAAGAAAACCAGAAAGCCTCTCTGATAAGCGCGTGAAAAATTCTGACACCTCTGAGACGAGTCTGGATTCATCCCATGCGGTTGCAACTCCGTTTGGTTCTTCACTGACCACAGCTACCTTAGAATTAACCAACTCATTCTGGCCTGTGGATGGCTGCTGGTTTGCCAGGAGGGTGCCCTCAATCATATTTTCTGCAGCAGCTTCCATTTGTTCAGATTTTTTATGAGCCGCCTCTTCAACTGCTTTACAATCCAAGCCTTGCATACTCAGACCAGCCCCTCGAACTTCCAGAACCCAAGTATCAAATCCTTGGCCACACATATAACGAGCAAAAGATGACTGCAGGAGTGTTTAAATAGCATAAATGCAAGTTAGCTTTTTGAATGTGTTTGGTGAATTTCTGTTTTGTCTTCATTCTTCAAGAGGAAATAATAGGCAGAAAAGGCTCTAGTATAACTATAAATTAAAGTGCAAACATACAATCCATGAAATAGAATATGGTGAATTTCAAGTTAAGCCATTAAATTAGTTGCTAGTTCTAAGTTTATTTTAGACTATCAATGTGTACTTTGATGGAATACATTTCCCACCCACACATCTCTTTCCACTGAAACATGCAAACTTCCACGACCATCTATCAGTCAATCAGAGAAAACTTCATTTCACACCATTCAAAATCAGAGCAGATGCATGAGTAAACATACATATAATCATAGCCATATTAGTTCATACATAACCGTGGAATATTATACAGAAAAGAAAATAATATATCTTTATTTAACCAAAGCAACAATATACCACACAATTCAGTAATTAAACCGTCAAAAGTCCATTTTGCAAATCTGCCACGAGGTATCCAGAAGACAATATATATATCTTCTAGCCTATGAATCACAAATTTCAAATCATAACTGGATGTGCCTGTATAGAACAGAAGAAAACTAACCCCAGGAGACAGATCATATCCAATGGCGTTTGTCCCCACACCAGACAACAGCAACAGCGGATGATTCCTCTGAGGAGCCTGCTTCCAATTAACAAAAATTCCAATTTAATTCTTTCTACATACAATAAACTTCACACTTAAATTGCATAAAAAATATCCAACAACTCATCTGAATGCAACAATACAATGTCTGTTTTAACCATTGTTTAATTCCTAAGCTTCCAAATCTAAACCGTGGACCACATAAAACGAAATTCACATATTAAAGCTATCAGTACCTCCCATCATTTGCACATATTATAAGAACAGTACCTGCGGCGGCGGTGTATAGCGCCATAGCGCGAGCCGCCAGTTGGAGTTGTCGACGGTGACGTAGTGGAGCTCGTCGGCCGTGCATATCGACGGTTTACTTGGAAGCTTCTGAACGTCGGTGGGCTGAGCCTCGTTCGTGGAAAACGCTCTCACGCTCGCTGCCCCGAGCGTCAGGGGGCGGAAGGACACGGCGCGTGAGAGGATGGAGCGATTCTGGAGAAAGTGTATGCGGTGGTGGTGCTGGCGGATGGTGGCGGCGGCGAGTTGGATCGCCGGATTTATGTTGGATTGGGCGATTGACATCGGTGATTGGTTTGACCAACAGTTATTATTGGGAGGTGTTGAATTTGATTTGTAAACAGTTTTGCTGAGTAGTGTTACAGACAGTGTGTTAATATTATTATAATATTTTTTTATGATATAATTATAATTTATTATTATTATTTTGTTTTGTTTGTTCGAGTACGTGGAGATTTTGGAGGTTCCTTGGAGGGTGTGGGAAATAATTTGGGATAAACACTACACGTCATAAATGCCCTATTTGGGAGGTTCCATTGAAAATAAAAGGACCTAGATTGTATGAGGTGGGTGCCTTTAGTTAATAAGGTGGTGGAGGATATACATAATAACGGTATATCAAACTATGCAATGAATAATGGGTGATAGAGTTGTACTTTGATGTGTGAAGATTGTATGTAGAGGTGGCCACGGGCCACCCAGTTTGCCAGCTCGGCCCGATCAAGTCCGTTGTCTATGGGTTTGGGCCCGATTCAAATTTTAAGCGAATCGAGTCATGGTCATATTTTTTCGACCTCGGCCCAGAAAATTATCATGATTTTGTATTGTTTTTACTTTTTTTATTTGGACTGGTCTCGCACCTGACTTCAGCTTGGCCCAGTTCTGGGTCTGTGTTTCCTAGCACGGAGGCCCACCGAGCCCAGTCCACCAAATGGTTATGTCTAATTAGTGGCAAAAATTTTTGACCAATCTGAATATTCTTGAAGGTACGATTTTTCTTGCCTTCATTGATGCTTCCTCTTATGCAAAGATGAGAAAGAAGATTTTTGAGCTTCTTGATGAATTTGTGGAGCGCATTGGTGAATCAAATGTTATCCAAGTTGTCATTAATAATGCTAGTACAATGGTTATTGTTGGTAAGTTATTTACCTATTTTGTGTCATTTGATTAATTTTGATTGCTCATTCATGTGTCATCAGTGTTTAAATTGTTGAAGTTTTCTCTCTTGTAGGAAAATTGCTCTAGAAGACAAACAATCACATTTGTTTTGGACTTCATATATGGCACATTCTTTGGACTTGATTTTTGATGATATAGGCAAGTTGTCTAATGTCATATACATATAGAAGAAGGCAATCAATGTGAATGTCTGTGTTTATGTTCGTCTGGATGTGGTGAATGTTGTAGTTATTTTTACCGGAGTTAAACCAAATGATTCAATCCCCGGTCGTCTCTCCAAGAAGGTCAGCCGGATTATTTGTACGGATATTCAATCACACGAAAAAAAAAAAAAAAAAAAATTCCTAAACACTCTAATTCAATGATTTGGGTTTTCAATTATCAACTAATAATTCTCAAACAGCGCAAATAAATAATTATCAATACTTAAAATGAGTTTTTTCTACGTACGAAGGCTAGGGAATCGGGGGTGATTATACTCAAATCAAATTCAAACACCAAGCAAAAATCGTTCGGCTAAATGATTCAATCAACCTACACATCTAGAAATTATTCCTCAATAACTTCTCGTAACAAGAGGAAAAATATAGACGTCAAATCAAACCAATCAATTAACACGTAGGCAATACAATTACGAACGAGCCTACTCTAGTCGAGCCTGGATCGACCGACTTCTCCCCTTTCGGTTCTACAACTTGAGTAATTAGATCAGAATGGTGATCAAGCATCTAACCCTAGGTTTAAATCAACTCGAAAAGATTGAACGAAATTCACAGGCAAGATAAGCACACGAGTACGAGTAATCACCCCCTATCCCTAGCTTAAGAATTTAGCCACTCATGCCAAGATGAACACAAGACATAGTATAAAGTAAATACTCCAAACTCATAATCAAAATGAGAAGAAAGCTTACGATAAATAAAAGTCAAGTGTTGAATCTCAAGCACAATCCAAATTCACGATGAAATTCCTTGGGTGTCACTCCCAAAAATTTTCAAAATAAGCCAAAGATAAAAGGAACAAGTTTTTCGTCTGATAAAACCAGAGAAAAATGAAAGTGCAGAATGAATCCTAAACCCTATGCCCGATCCTACATAATAGTGAATAGTTTCAGCATTCAAAAGATCAGACGCCGCGGCGCGATGGTGGTCACGGCGTGAGAGGAGAAGTGCAGCGGCGCGTCAGTTGCTCGCGGCGTGGGAGAAGGGAAGTGCAGCGGCGCGTCGGTCCTCGCGGCGTGGGAGATGAAGAAGCGGCTTTTCTGTACAGCCGTTAAGATTGTCGCGGCGTGGGAGGATGGAAGTGCAGCGGCGCGTAGGTCCTCGCAGCGTGGTGACTGAAAAAGTTCTTTTGAAGGTCCGTTAAGGGCATCACGTGAAGAGCAGCGGCGTGAGAGAGTCGGGGTGTCGCGTGTGAGCTCGCAACATGAAAGAGATGAAATGCCAGTGGGAAAAGCTTGTCTCACATGCACTTAGTAAAACCGGGACAGTTCGACTAGATAAACTCCAAACATCTGGTCAAGATTTCGAACCTGCATACCTCCAAGAACAAGAAAATACCCGGAAAACAGAGAAAACCAACGAATATACAAAAATAACGAAATAATAGCAAATACATGAAATAAACGACTGCATGACCGAAAATCCTATCAAAAGATCTAAACCGGGGGCTAAAAACCTATAAACAAATAAGGAAAAAGATAACAAAAATAGGACAAACAGTGAATATGTTGTGGAATTTCATGGGAGAGAAAGAAACTATTCACCTGGTGTCACAAGGTTTACTACAACCTTTCTCACACTTAAAGAATGCAATTATTGAAGAAGAAATTAAGAGATATGTTATTATCGAAAAAATAGAAAGATATCAATAAAAGAAAGAATCTCATGGAGTTGAAATTACCACAATCATTTTTTGAATTCGAATTTGGAACAATGTATTGAGAATCCTAAAATTATTTAATCATTTGGTTCATGATTAAGAATAGTGAATCAGGGTAAAAAGGACCGCAATATTCAACATTTATAAAGCCATGGACAAGCCAAAACAAGCGATATCGGACATTTTTTTATACATTAAAAATAAGACAAATATAAGGATTAATGGGAAAATCATTGATATGAGATGGAATTGTCAACTCCATAAGCCCTTGTAAGCCGTCGGTCATTATTTGGATCCACAATTTCTTCCTACATATAGCTAATTAAATATTCCATATGAGATTGAGAATGAATTTCTTTCATGCGCAGAGAGGTTGATCCTGGACCTTGATGAGCAAGAAATATCTCCTCCCAATATGAAATTTATTTAAGGGCCGAAGAGGGTGTCTTTGATTGTTCCGGTGGAATCGTGGTGTATTGACGGGAAACATACTCCAAAATTGAGAAAGTTTGCCATCAAGGTGCTAAATCTCACGTGTAGTGCTTCGGGATATGAGCACAATTGAAGCATGTTTTTTAGCACATAAATACTTCATAAAAATTCTTCAATAACACTGTTAAGAAATCATAGATTCTGTTGACATAATAGAAAATGAAATAGGCTTGAATAAAAATAATTGGATCATTTGGTATATGTAAAATACAATAATGAGCATGATCGAATTGGTCCTATATTGTTGAACTATATTGACGAGTCCAATGATTGGTTTATAGGAAAAATGAAAGGAGATAGGAATGATGGTGATGCTGATGATTTGGTATTTGAGGGAAAATACTTGACTTGGGATGTTGTTGATGAGGTTAATGGTGCGGAGGAGCCTATGTATCAAACTAGGAAAAATAGCTCAAAGTTTCAAGCCCAAGAAGTTTGAGAAGAAAAATACAAAAGCATTAGAGTTGGAAAAGAGAGTCAATTTTCTCCTATAAAGGCTCAACTCTTAGAATAATCGATGAAGAAGAATACATTGTAAAAAATGACTTGGAGTTGCTCGAAAAAGAAACGGAAGATTTGATGTTATTATTGTCATTTGAACATAAATATATAATTATACCTTCTATAATAGTATTTTATTTATATTTTGGTGACTTATGTAGCCGAGGCCTTGTCATGGCCAATCGCACCTCGCCTCTGTCATGTGATGGGCCAATAACTTCGTCTCGCCATTCTTCATTTAAAACTATGGTTGTGGCTAGCGACAAATAGTTTCATAAAGTGAATGAATTATATGAACAAGTCATCATAAAATCATTGATGGGATTAACGAGCATCCATTGTTTTTAATATCTAGTAGTGAAGAATAAACTATAGTCGTTGTGAGGTTGTGTAGAAACAGTGGATGATATCTATTATTATCTGTTAGTAGTTGTTTATAAATATCAATGATTGTAATGTGATAAAAAGATTGTAATGTGATAAAAATATAGTAAGATAATAATTGATAATTATAAATAAATAAATAAATAAATAGTAAACTTTATAAGGAAACATGTTGTAATAATTGATATTTAATTTAAATTTTGTATCGAAAGATATGAGTGAAATACAATGAAAAAATAAACGAGATGATTATATAATATATTTTTTCAATGGTGAGGGGCGAATGAGTTTGGATAGTATTTGGGGAAAAAATTCCTTCACTTATATAAAAAGGATAATAGAAAATATCATAGATGTAGTCATTTATAGATTGTTAACGAACCAAACGTTCGAAAATAAAAGTCGTTTGAACTTATTCGTGTTCCGTAAGAGCTCATTTGATTATTAATCAAGTTGAGTTTGAAAAAAAAGAAAAATTAAGCTCGTTTAATTGTCGAACAAACACGGGTCTGTTTGCGAACATTTGGTAATGTCTGCAAATATTATTTTATTATAATTTTAGTTTATTTTTATATTTATATGTATGACACTTTTAATTAAAAACTTAATGAAGAAACGGGGGTTGACAGGTGCGGTCCCACGAACGTGAAGCGCACCAAAGCAGGGTGAACCTTCATGGGCCTTAATGGGGTTCCATCCTAAAACCAATTGGTGGTAGGAGGAATAGCCCATTAGGCCTATAAGTTAGACTTATTTTCCTTTTATAGACGATGTGGGACAACTCAAAAGTGTATATTCTAACACGCCCCATCATTCGTGAGTCCTTTATATGAGGCTCAAGCCCAACTGGGCTGGGTGACGGGTACGTCATTGCATGGTCCTACGTAGGCCCAAGTCCAACTGAGCTGGGTGAAC